AGGCGTAGGCAATTTCCCCTATCTGTAGTTTTTGCCATGACCATAAACAAGAGTCAAGGACAGACACTAGACAATGTTGGACTTTATTTGCCTAGGCCGGTTTTTTCACATGGGCAACTATATGTGGCAATATCTAGAGTGATGTCAAAATCAGGTTTGAAGATTCTTATCACCGACAAGAAAGGTTAACCTCAAACCAATGCAATGAATGTTGTTTTTAAAGAAGTCTTCCAAAACCTTCGTTAGCTAATTCGATGATTCAATTTGATTGAACATCTTACCTTCAGTTTTCCTTTCTGCAAGTTGTGGGACAATATGTTTACACTTCTTCTCCTTTCACTTTCGTCACTCGCCATTATTGGGGTCTATCACCTCATAAGATTAGATCAAATCAAGATTTTGCATTTTGTATTACATTATTTCAATCTACGATATATAAATGGTCTCTATAATTTGTTGAATTCCTTACAACATAACAATTCAATCACTAATCAATTCAATCACGATTAAACTTGAGAATTCGATGTACCTTTAAGACGAATTTCTAATTCCACTGATCCGGAACATAATCGATGAACTATAGTTCTTGAATTCTTCAATTCCGAAATTGTTTGAGAGGAATGAAATTGCATGCATTTATCAATCTGGGAAGCTCGAATTAAGAAGAATTAGAAATCAAAATCATCGAAAGATGTTTATTACAAGGATTGCGACTTCTCTCCATTATCAGAAATCGAAAACGAAGCAGTAGCCGTCGTTCTTTTTTCTGTATTTTTTTTTTCGAAAACATTATTTTTTTGTTTTTTTAAATCATTTATCCTATTATTAAAACAAAATCAAAGTTTATTACATAAAAATTGGGCCTATTTTTATTTTGCAACTTAAACATTGAACCCAACTTGGCCCAATTTGATATATATCTCTCAACATTTTAATATACATTACAATATTATCTAATCTTTTATTAAGAAAACATTTTTCACACATAATTAAATATAATACAACATTTAATCCTATTAACAAATAAAATTACACATGCTATGACATATATTTTATAATTTTGATTCTATTATATTATTTGCTTTTTAATACACCTTTTATAATTTATTTTTATTAAAAAAAAATTCACACCCGTGCTATAGCACGGGTTATGATCTAGTGATTTTTTAAGTTTGAATGCTAACAGTTAAAGATTGAATTCTAACAATCAAAGATATATGCAAATAAAAATATTTCCTAGAAAAATGGCAAGATAATTTGGAGATTGAATAGCAATTGGAAATGTGTAATTAGTATTGGCGTTAGTTATCTTTGGTAAGTTTTTTAGTATATTTTTTAGAATATTAATGTGATTTAGTTACTACCAACTATTTTCTAGCCTTTGTAATTAGTTTTTATTTTTATTTTTAAATATTATAATTGATATATTTAAAATCAATAAACAAATTATAATTTTATGAATATTTAAACATATAAAAGATTTAAAATAACACGGAACAGATTATATTGCAGGACGGGTTATATGCCGGGACGGTTTTTTTTGGAAGAAAACGAGGACGGATTTGACTCAATATTAATAAAATTTAAAATATCATTAACTGGTCACTTTAATATGGGTTGGACCCACATTTAGTTTTTTTTAACACTACCAATATTAGACATATCGAATCAGTCTAGTAGTTTCACGATATAAAAACTACATACTATTACACTTAGAATATCACAAAGGTATGTCTTATTAAAAACCGTAGAGAATCAAACTTACGTTACGGTACCAATAAACATACAAAATTAATACAATAGGTTCATCAGTTTATTAGAAAAGAAAAAATTATTTTCCTGCGGTGTACCGCGGGTCATATCCTAGTCTATATATACATTTTTGGAGACATTTATGAAATAAATCCTGGAGTTTCAACTTATTTACGATCAAATGTCATTGACATTAATTATTTAGATTTTCAAAATTAAATCAAAGATATTAACATAAAAAATCATTTCCAAAAATCTTAACCTAATATATTAATCATAACTAATCTTTGACACAATTACATCCATAATCAATTCGATTTCCTTGAAAGATCTCAACAATCCCTATATTTAATCGTGGTCATTCAAATCTTAATCCGGTTTTTAATCTTCAATCTTGATTGTCGGTCATACGCAATTAATTGAGAAATCATTATATAGAATTAATTATTATTAACTAAAATTAAAAATATATATATGTACAATCAAACTTTTAAATTGACTCGAATTATATGTCTATTAAATAAAATATTATTAAAAATAAAAAAATGATGTTTAGTTTCACGGGACGGGGTTATATAGTGGGACGGGTTTGGATTGACATTAATACGAGACGGTATTAATATCACGGATGAAATCTTAAAATTAACAATCAAAATATAATTATACAATCTTAAACACTTAACAAAATAAACAATATTAAAAAAATAAACTTTAAAATTTAATTTTTTAGTTAAAAAATCGATCCGCGGTGTACCGCGGGGTAAAATCTAGTTCATATTATTTTTAAGTGACAAACCCCAAAGATAGCTTCTATCTTTTTTAAAAATTTCAATTTCGCTCATCAATATAAATTCTAGTGCTAGATTTCTTACCAATGTTTTCAACTATACAGAATTTAATAAAAATGGTTTTGGCTTAATTATAGTTTTTGTTTTTCTATATTTCACTCCATTTAAGTATGAGTGCTAGGTTTTATTCTACTTATTTATTGTAATTTTTTTATTCTAACTAAATTTAATTTTCATGAAACATTTTATTTCATTTTTTTAATCTTAAGAACCAAATATTTTTGATGAAGCTCTTTTTGTTTTCAAAAAATACTTATACCTTAAATTTTAAAAAAATCATTATAACGATCTTTATATAATTCTCTATTGGATCATAAAAACTAAATATAATGATAAATATATTATATGATTTACAAAAATTTGTTCGAGATGAAAAAGAAGTAAAAAAAATAATTTGATTAATATATTATAATAATTTATTTTGTCAAATATTGCATAATCAAAAAACAAGTAGATAAATATGTTAGCAAATAATCAAACATCCAAAGTAGATAATAGAGATTGATTTTTTCAAATTCATTTCCTTGTTGTACGATGATTGGAATTGATATTCCGGCGGAGGCGAGATCGGGAAGGCGAGAGATTTTGTAGGGTCGTCGAAGACGGGTGAAGACGGCGAAAGCGAGATCGGGAATTAGGGTAGTTTCTCAATTCTATATTTTCTATTTTTTAATTAATTTTTAATTAAAAACTTTTGGGTGCTTTTTCTGGAAATTATGAAGTATGGGGCCATTTTTAGAAAAAAAAAACTTTGGGGCTATTTGTGTCAATCTCCCCATTTTTAACTCTTCATACCAATAAACTTGAAAGTTTTGATATAACCATCAAAAATATAATTTTACATATGTGAATTTAAATTAAAATATTAAGATTATTGAAGAAATAAGTATAATCTTGTATGGGGTTAAAAATAAAATAAAAATTGAAATCATTGTTAGATATATGTCATACTTTCTAAAATAAATTTAGAATCAAATTCATACAATGATGATTTCTTTGATTTTAACCCATATAAAAAAATAAAAATATAGATACATGAATATAGTGGAAGAGCATGAGAGAATGATTACTTATAGTCAATTGAGTTGAATCTTTAAAAAAATCAAAAAAAAATGTAAGATTCATGTAGTCTCTAAAATTAAAATTTAGAATTAAGCTTTCACAACAACAAAAAAAAACCTAAAACTAAACAAAAATATATATTTGAGATTTGAGATATAGTTGAAGAGGATGGGAAAATGAGTATTTATAGGATGAGAAGTGATGTGAGTTACAATTAAAAAACATAAATTATGGGAGTTACAATTTTAATTTATTGTGTGTTGAATAAAATTGAGTGGAAAAATATAGGTAATGGATAATTTTTATGATATCAGTTTTATATTAAAATATGAGTTAAATGTCCATGATTAAATGTGTTATTTATTGTTTAATTGGAAATATATATTTTTTAAAAAATTGCATTGTCAAGTGGACCAATAAGGAGAGAGTGAAACCTAACTTTTATATATATGATTTCTCAATGTGTATGTCAAGATGGATGTTACACAATATGTATATAACGATATCACTTTTTAAAAATATTTCACGTAATCCAGTCTTCAAGAAAACAAAATATTAACTGAAATTTAGTTTTGTTTAGAAAAGGTTAGATCCCAAATTTTATGTTAGGGCTACCAAATTTCCTGATCCCAAATCGAATCTAAACTATGAAAAAACAAACTAAACTAATCAAACTTAATTAAAAGTAATATTTTAATTAAATTTTAAAAAAATGTTTAAATATTTTAATTAAAAATCAGTTAATTGTTATTATTATATTTTTATAATAAAATTTTCAAAACTCAAACCAAACTGAATCCAAACTATGAAAAACCAAACCTAACTAATCAAAATTCATTAAGAAAATACTATTTTTAATTAAATGTATAAAATATATCATTTATTTATAATTTGATTCATCGGCTTATTTAAAAAAATAATCTGAAATCGAAAAAATTGAATCAAACCGAAGTAAAATGTGGAAGCCCCCTTGGCCCATTGGTTGACTAAGGGTTGATTAATGCTTCTACACCAAGAGGTCTGGGGTTCGAGTCCCAGATATTGCGATTTATTAACAAATTTGCAGATTAATGGAGGCAAGTGTGCAGGAGATCTCCAGCGATGTACAGTTATAGCTGTTCGCCATGATTCTACGCAGGGAAGGAAGTGTCGTCAGGTCGTGGATTATTGAAGGTATTCATCAAGATCATGAAGAAGGAAGTGTAGTCTGTCGTGGATCTAGTAAGGGTCGGAAGGAATTGTCAGTTGTAGAATCGTCTATGTAATAGTTATCATAATTTGCAATTAATAATAAGTCTAGACGACAAAAAAAAAAAAACCGAAGTAAAATTATTCCCGAATAGATTTATTTTCTATAATCCAAAAACGAACCGATGAATCGAATGTCTATCTCTTTTTGGGTGGATCAAGCGGTTTTAGTTCCAATGGTAAATAATAAAAGAATTCCCAACTGAAGTCAAAATTCCCCCACAAGAAATTGAACCCTAAAACCCCACGAACTCTCTCTCTCTTCTCCTATGTGTTCGTCGCCTTGAACCTTACCTCCGCCGCTTAAGCAGCCACCACCATCAACTGGCTGAATCAATCTGAGCAAGACCGCCGGTCACAGGCGCCAAATCGAGATACTAAACCCTAATTGATAGAGATGCTTAATCTTCCCACCTGGTCAGAGCTCTGTCCTGATTTGCTGGGATCTATTTTCGAACGATTAAGCTTTGCAGATTTCCATCGCATGAAGCTTGTGTGTTCAAGCTGGAATTCGAGTTCAAAACTAGCAATGGCCCGAAAAATCGAACCTCCATGGCTAATACTGTTTCCATACGGTGAAGAAAACGTTTGCGTGCTTTACAATCCAGACGAAGACAGAATTTACAAAACAGTTAGAGACTTCTCAGGGACTCAAATCGTGGCAAACTCTGGTAAATGGTTTCTGATGGTAGATTCTGGATGCAATTTGTATATTATGGATGTGTTTAGCGAGAACAGGATCGATCTTCCGCCTCTAGAGTCGCTCCTACAACTTGCCTATGCTCTCAAGTCTGTGAGAGATAAGCAATGTAATAATTTTGGATTAGCTAGTGGCTGTTATCAGAAAGAGATAGCCCGTAATCTGAGGGGCCGTTTGTGGGTAGACGAGAAGACGGGAGAGTTCGTTGTAGTGTGGTTCTTTGACCCTGATATTTATTTATTCTATTGCAAGAAGGGGGATAATCATTACACTATCATTTCGTTGTATCACGAAGTCCCCAAGTTATTAAAAGGCTTAAATGATCTAGTACTCAGGGGTTACCGTCTTTATATAGCATCTAAACGTGGTTTCGTTCGAGTTATAGATTTGTCTGGACCACAAGATTTCGAGGATGTCACCGGGAGTAACCCAAAGCAAATGTTTTCTCCTCTCGGGGAACATAATTCTTTTAGCGTTGCCGTTACAACAACAGGAGAGGTTTTGTTGGTCGAGAGCAAAACCTTCGAAGACCAGAGGACCTTCCGCCTCTTTAAGAAGGATCCTAACAATGCAGACCCACTTGTCCACAGCCCCAAGCTTCTTGAGGTAGATTCTCTTGGTGATGAAGCCATGCTTCTTGACTTGGGTATTACGTTACCGGCTAACCATACCATTGGTATCAAACCAAACTCTATCTATTTCACCCGTCATGACCGTGCCTGTCTCCGCATCCCTTTTGATCTTGACATCTGTGTGTTCAATCTTGCAACCAAGACCCTCAACTCGCCAACATGAATCTCAAGGATGCTCAATGGTTTCTCCCTATGACTTGATTCATGCATTTTGATGTTCTTGAAAGTTCTTGTTTCCTTTTAGTTCTATATGTAGTCGTCTTTTTGCCTTTTGTTTAATTCTATTCATTAATTGGTTGTTGCACGTTTTGATTTAGAAAAAAATATATGTAATACGATCGTGTGTCTTCAACTGCATGTACTAGCTAGTGAATAATGGTGATAAGTGTTGGGATCAAAAGAGAATTTTAAATTTATATGATAAAGTTGTTGAAGTCTAAAAAATCATCATCTCCTAGCCAATCAATAATTTTTCAACAGGAAACACATTGTTCTTTAAGTATTATTTATTTTTTCTTCTAAAACTTCTCGTAAGCCTAATAAATTATCTACTAAAGTTAATAATGTATCGTCAAGGTTTTTTGGGCCATCTTTTTACGAAGAGACACATAGGCACTACAGGAAAATGAAGCATCTGTAGCGCCCGAATAACGCTATATAACTCTACTGTAGCGTTTTAACAAGCGCTCTATCATCGCCCGTCATAATAGGTCGGAGACATATTATAGCGGTTTTTCGTTATGCTACCATAAAGTTAGTTATTACAGCGCTTTTCTTTATGCTATACAGTAATTAATAATATAATAGCGGTTAATATTCGATATTAAATACTACTATTGACAGCATATTTATTTTGCTACATATAAAATGACAATAGCAGTTAATAAACTGCAATTGTTTCAATTTATGGCATTTTGTTTTGGTGCAATATTTGACCATCCATTTCCAGTTCCAATTCTGTTTTGATCAAATTATTTACAAATTTATATTATATAAAACAGATTTAAAAAGACAAAATGAAATTCATATTAGATAAACATGTCAAATTACATGATCATGCCTGAGCAAGTACTGAATTCACCAAAATAACAATGTTGGTACTCAAACAATTTAGACAAACATGATTTTATCATTAGGCCAAGCCACAATACTACCTACTGCATCGGCAATGGTTTGAATTTCAGAGTTTGGTCTCCACACAGCTGCATCTCCAACCTTTGACACTTCTACCCAAACCTTGCTCGCATTGGCACCAAGAGGCATATGATCAGTGGCGGAGGTAGCATAGAAACATGGGGGTCAACTGACCCCGGTGAATTTTCAAAATCAAACTAATATTATGGCATATTTAAACAAATACATAGATATTTGATTAAATTCTTATAAATTGACCCCAGTGCCCAATATGAAAACTACTCTTTTGACCCCTTAAACCATAACTTTTTTAATATTACAAAATGATATAGACTATAACCACTAATTGTTATATATAAGTTTCTTTGTTTTTAATTTTATTATCATGTTTTAGACAAACCAAATGTTTTTATAAATATCAGAATTTCATTTTTGTAAATGTAATAAAAAAAACATAAGCTATATGCAATATAATTTGAAGAAAAAAAACAACCACACTTTATTAAAATATTTTTTATATTTTGACCCCGGTAAATTTAAATTCTAGCTCCGCCAATGCATATGATGGACTGTGTCAGATGGATTAGATGGACATACTCTTCCTTCTGCTACTTTTTCCCTGGAGTTTTTGCAATCTAACAAGATGCATTTCTTCTTGACTGATTTGCTTGTGCTACCAGTGCTGTTACTTAAGCTCTACAATAAGCAAAAATAAAAAATTACTTAAATCCATCATTCATCAATTCACTTAAAGTAAAAAGTTCAAAAAATTTACCAGTGGAGGAGATGGTCTTTTATCTGCTGCTGCTGATTCATTCCTTGGTGAGGAATTCACAAATTGTATACTCTGAAGAGGCCATGCGATGTTCTCATGTAGTACATCCTTCATCAAAAACTTTCCCGGACTTGGTCTCCACAGATATGCGTTCTTGTTAAACACTTTCTCAACATTAACAATTCCAGCAGAATGACCAAGAGGCATATTGTTGACCATTTCGTCCTTGTCAGTTGAACACAATCTTCCCTCAGCAACCACAGAGTCAGCCAAATTCCAATCAATTATGAGGATTTTTGTGTGAGATCCATCTGTAGCCTAATGATTCATAAATAATAAGTGATTAAGCTGATATTATACTGATATTTGACAAGTAAAGGAAAGAAAACCTTACTGAGGATCCTGCAGTCTTATTCTCAATAGGGGAGTCTGCATCATTGTCTAGAATGATCTTACCAAAAGGCCAGGCAATCTTGGTCCCCAAAGCTTCACCAAGTAAGAATACAGATGGTGTAGGTCTCCATAGAGAGGCTGTTTCATCAGACACTGACTTCACAATAACAGCCGCAGCATGACGACCAAGTGGAATACGACCAATCTTGTACCATTGTTCAGCTGAGCAGAATTCCCCTTCTCCTACAACAACATCATCCTCTGAACACCAATCAAGAAGCTGGCATCTAACACCTTTACTATGATCACTAGCCTCTGATTTAGATACCTCTTCACACTGGTCCTAACAATAATCAATGGACATTGTTCAATAACATTTAATTTTGCTTCATAGAACACAAGTGTTTAGTTTTCACTTACCTTTTTCCCAGTTAAGCCAGTCAGTACATCTTGCAATTCCTCAATCTTTATTCGTAAATCAGCTTGTGAAGCTTCTAGCTTCTCCACATGAGAGTCTCTAGCTAACATGAATGCTAACTTAGTTGCAGTAACCCCTCTGCCCATTCCTCTAAGTCTTCCAGGCTTGTCTTTTCCTAAAACTTGACTAACAGCATCTTCTTTGAGATTTGTTGTTGATGAGCAGCCCATTTCACTGTCAATCGATTTAATTTTTTCCTAATAACACCAGAATGTCAACATAAAGCAAGTCTCTCAATAGAAAAAAAAAAGATAGTGAAATTAATAACTCACAATAGTCTCTGCAAATTCAGGCCTTACTGGTCTCCCATCTGAGTGTGTATGACCTGCTACCCAAACCTTGCTTCTTGTCACCAGTTTTGGGTTTGAACTCTTTTTTTTCTATCAAGTAAGATAGTCATTAGTGAAACTCTCATCATTACCAAACTTATTTAACAGAGAGTAGACATATACCATCTCATGAGCTAGGCGGTTCATCCCTTTGCGACTGGTGGTGTGTGGAATCTGGGCCTGCCTCAACTTCCTGTACTTCTCACTTATTTCCTACAAAAGTATAGTGGAGTTAGTCAAATATTTGAATTAGTCAATAACTATTTTAAGACAATCATACTGAACCTTGAAGGCACTGGTGTTTCTGTTCTTCACCCAAGCATTCCAAGCTGACACTGATTCTATATTGCTTGGTTTTAGCTTAAGTAATTGTGCTTTGCTCTTTACAGCTCGCACCTTAGCAGTTAGCTTAGACTTAGAAGCCCTCCAAACACAACCCATCTGCTTGAAAACACAATCCTTTTGCCAATCTTCTGTCAAATTGAACCTCCCCTACAAAAAAGCTAAAATGTCATACACAAACACTGAAAAAGAATAAGTTAAATTAGTTGGATCAGATATACCTGTATTTCTTCCCATAATGTGTCCCTAGTCTGATCAGATAGGTGCCTCCAATCATCCAGAAGAACAGGTACATGCTCTCTCACAAGAGGACCAAGGAATGATGATAGTGTCACAGATCCAATCCCTACATGTTCACCAATAGAAGTAAATTCAACATCTACCTTTTCATCATAAGGCCATACACTCTCCAGCTAAGTATCCCTCAGCCATACATGCTTCGGGCCTTGCAAAGTTTTTCACATAAGCCTTTAGAGTTTTCATGTACCTAGAACACAATAAGACAGAAAATATGTCATCAAATTTATCATACACAGTCATTACAAATTAACAGAGACTATAAGGTAAGATACTACCTTTCAAATGGATACATCCATCTAAAGTGTACTGGTCCACCAAGACGAGCTTCTCTAGCCAAATGTATTGGTAGATGAAACATGATATCAAACAGAGATGGAGGAAAATATCTTTCAAGCTGACACAGTGTCTCAACTAATTCAGACTCCAATGTGATTAGCTTCTCAGGGTCAATAACACGCTGACACAACCTGCTGAAGTAGTTGCATAATCTACTTATAGCAACTATAGGTCCTTTAGGAAGCAACCCTCTCAAAGCAACAGGTAACAAGTTTTGAAGAAGCACATGATGGTCATGAGACTTCAATCCACCAATGACTGGTGGATCAACAGATACACAATTTAAGATATTGGCACAATATCCATCAGGCCCTCTAAACCTGGCTAGCCTACTACAGAATCTCCTTTTCTCTTCCTTAGACAACCAATAAGAAGCAGGAGGTAAGTATGTCCTCTTTCCTCTTAACTGTGTATGCAAGTTACTACGAATCCCCATATCTTCCAAATCTTTGCGTGCTTTCAAGCCATCATTTGATTTGGCATTTTGCATCAAAATTGACACTAAGGCATCAGACACATTCTTCTCCACATGCATCACATCAATGTTGTGACGCACAGGCAAATACTAAGACAAAAAAAAAAAAAACAAGTCATTACTAATTGGCACTGCTAACAAAGGTAAGGAAACTGTTAAGTAAATTTACCTTCCAATAAGGTAATTGAAAAAGAATAGAGAGTTTCTTCCATCTCCATTGATCAGTGTCTTCATCATACTCATCTTGAGAAACCATATCATCTTCTTCCAAATCTGTTCTTTTCCTTTTACTCTTTCTCTCCAAAGGTCTCCCAAAATCATTTCTGAAATCTTTGAGTATTTCAAATATTTCTTCTCCTGTCTGAATCCTACTTGGTGTCCCTTCCTCTATAGTGTTGTCAAACCAGCCTCTTCTACGCCTGTAATGATGCCCTGAGTCGCTTCCTATTGCTCAAATACACATGTTTTCTACTAAACTTCAACCACTTAAATGGTGTATCCTTCCCACAGACATTACAAGCTTGTTTTCCTTTCACTTTACAACCAGCTAAGGTCCCTAAGGCTGGATAGTCACTGATACTCCACAACAACATAGCTTTAAGAGTGAAATTTTCCTTTAAGAAGGAGTCATACACCTGAATACCTTCACTCCACAGATCCTTTAAGTCATCTATCAATGGTGCTAGATATACATCAATGTTATTGCTTGGTGCAGTAGGTCCAGGTATCAACAGTGTTAGCATAATATTCTCTGCCTTCATACACATTGTTGGAGCCATGTTGTAGTTAACTAGCAAAACAGGCCAGGTACTATACTTAGTATTCTGAATAGAGAATGAGTTCATCCCATCAGTTGAAAGACCTAATCTAAGGTTTCTTGGTTCAGCAGCAAACTCTGGCCATTTATTATTCACTTGAGCCCAAGCAAGTAAGTCTACTGGATGTCTCATTGTACCATCTTCACTTGCATTATTAAAATGCCACCTTAAATCCTCAGCCATTTTCTTGGATCTAAACATTCGCCTGAATCTATCTTTGATTGGAAAGTACCTAAGTACCTTAGCTGGAATTCCCTTCTTCTCTTCACCCGTGTGCTTATCCCTTTCCCATCTTGAAGCACTGCATCTTGGACAGCTATCTTTGAGCTCATACTCCTTTTTGTATAGAATGCAATCATTCTTACAGGCGTGAATGGTTTCATATCCAAAACCAAACACCTTCAAGAATTTCTTGATCTCATTTGTTGATTTTGGAAGCACATTTTCTCTAGGGAGCATATCATGCACTAAGCTCAAAAGTTGATCAAAGTAATTCTCTGACATCTCACTCTTCACTTTGATGCGGTACAGCCCCATGATTGCAGACACCTTTGTATACTTGGGACATCCAAAGTATAGTGGAGTTTCAGCCTCCTTTAGCTTCTTCCTAAAATCAGATTCCTCTTTTGTTTCTGCCTCCTGACTATCATCTCCATTATGATTCTGAGAATCAGAATGGTCTTCTCCATCATAAAAAGCTGTTCTAATAAGGTCAAAAGCTTCAAACTCCCTTCTGGGCTCAGCATCTGATTTATCAGTCCTTATATCCCCATGCTTACTCCAGCATTCATTTCTTTTGTATTTCTGATCCATTCCCTTAATAACTAGATGCTCCAAAACTCTTTCTACTGGTTGATGACACAGATTCCGGCAATCCTTACATGGACAGAACATTTCTTTTGGATCTCCCAAACTCCTCGCTGATGAATAAACAAATGTAGTTGCTCCTTTCTCATACTCGATGCTATTCCTTGGCAGCCATACCCAAGATTTATCCATTTTACAACAACACCAAGCTCCAAGCCCATATATATGATATATTATATATATTAGACCAAAGAGCAACCATATATATATATCTTCTCAGAAACAAAGAGCAAACACATACATAACAAAGAACAAAGTAGTAAAATACTTTGTTTCTTATAATATAGTGGCATATATACAAAGAACAAAGTAGCAAAATACTTTGTTTAGTTTAACAAAGTTTTGTTTTAACAGATGTTGATTTCGAAAACAAGTTTGGTTTTGACAAAACAGTAGCTCAATTTTCATGACTAACAAAGAGAAACAAGTTTAGTTTTAACAAAACAGTATGAAAATAACAAAGAGAAACACTAAATCAATTCAAAACAGTTGCTCAATTCGAAACCAACACACATGCAAGTTTGAAACAGACAAAGAGAAACACTAACTCAGATAAAAACAACACACATGCTTAACTCACACATGCAAGATTGAAACCAACACACAAGCAAGTTTCTGGAAACATAACATGCAAAACATCGAATTACCTTCAATTACATACCTGTTGATTCACCGAAAGCTTCTAGAAACGGCTATTGAAAGCTTCTGCAACTCTGAGTACCCTAAAACAAAACCCTAAAACGATTACAACCCCAAATTGAAGCTCAAATATGATAATTTCACAAACAAAACCCCAAATCGATTTTCAAAACCCTTACCTTTACAATGTACGACCAGATCTGTGAGTGAGAGATGGAGACTCAATTAACTGAGAAAAGAAGGCGGAGAGTCGAGTAACAGATAGATGGAGATGGAGAGTCGAGTAACAGAGAGATGGAGATGGAGATGGAGAGTCGAGTAACAGAGAGATGGAGAGTCGAGAACAGAGAGAGATTTACAGAGAGAGATGAAGAATCGAGATGAAAAATCGAGAGAGAGTCTAATCGAGAGAGATGAAGAAATTTAGGTGAAGAGTCTAAACAGTGAAGAGTCTAATTGTGCCTTAGGCAAATTTTCGTTTTTTTCCCACAAAATTTTTTTCCCAAGAGGCGGGCATTATTCGTTTACCACTAATAGATTCAATAGCGTTTAATCAAAAAAAGTGCTATCAAATATCAAACCTAATTCTAAAAACATTGACCCGCGTCCTTTTATTTCTCCGAGTAATAAAGTATAGCGTTTTAAATTTACCAAACGCTATAACATATTACGGTGTTTGTCAATAATAGCAAAACAGCCTTAATTGCTATATTCTTATGCTATAAATGCGTCATATTCTTGTAGTGAGGTCCAAATAACTACATAGGAGAATTTGCTCCTATATATAGAGGCATACATTTTCTTTCTCCTCTATTTTAGAGGAGAATTTGCTCTAATGTATCCATCTAAAATAGAGTTTCCTCTAAAATAGTGGAGATAGACATTGAATTACTCTTATATATAAAGGCATACATTGTCTCTCTCCTCTATTATAGAAGAAACTATATATTAGAGGGATACATTGGAACAAAATCTCCTTTAAAATAGAGTTTATAGAGAAAAAGATTGAGATGGGTATTGGAGATGGTCTTAGAGGCATACATTGGAGCAAAATCTTCTCAAAAATAAAGGAAAATACAGAGATGGACATTGAAGATGCTCTTAGTAAGTCGATTTGTAACAAGAACAAGACATGCGTGATCATCATTGTGGAGATAGTACAGATTCCCATACTGATCAGCATTGTGGAGATAGTACGGATTCCCATACTAATTAGTTGGATACCTTAGTTGTTAACCAAAATTAAACGGAGGGCGATTCACCAGAACACTAAATGGAGGTACGTAAGATCCATTCTGAGAGTAAGAACAAAAAATTTCAAAGAAAAGTGAGACGGAATTGTGATATAGAAGCTAGATTCGTCAACACCAGAAGTTAATCAAAGAGATATCAAAAGAATCAAAATGGAAAAGTAGATTGCAGCGAACAAATCACGAATAGCGAGAACAAGAAATTGAAGAAAACGAAGCAGTGAACATACCGGGAAACTCATTACCGTCTTACCGATGAACACAAAGAAATTAAAGCGGAAGATCAAAGTTTGTGCTTTGATATCATAATAAACTCCGATATCGAAGATTCAAGATCGGAGAAGAGAGAGTTTAAACGGAAAGATAACAAACTTTTTATTATCACCCAAAATGTTGTTACAAAGCTTAATCAAAAAATGTAAATACACAAGATTAATAAGAGCAAACCAAGATGAGATTAACTAATAATATTAACCAGAGATAACTGGTCCATGTATTTTTAATATCTTTCATTGTGTATGTCAGGATGGATATTACACAATATGTATATAACAATATCACTCTTTAACAAGATTACACCTACTCCATGATTATATATATTAACTAAAATTTAGTTTAGTTTAGAAAAAATTAGACCCAAATTTTGTTTTAGGGCTACCGAATTTCCTGATCGCGAAGCAAATCTGAACTTAAAAACCAAACTAATCAAAATTCATTAAAAATACTATTTTAATTAAATGTATAAAATGGTTGTAATGTTTCTAATTATTATTCTAACTACTAGATTTTAACCCGCGGTACACCGCGGGGCTATACTTTAAACAAAAGTTTGAAAATTATCTATAGATATAACCTATTGTTTTGTTTGGTTAAATATACTTACATATGTATATATTATATATATTACCCCGCGATACTTCGGGTCGATTTTTTATAACAATAATTTTTAAATTTTAAGTTGTATTTTTTTGTTAATATTATTTATTTTATTTAGTGTTTAAGATTATATAACTGTATTTGATTGTTAATCCTAGGATTTCACCCGTAGTATACCGTCCCGTATTAATATCGACCCAAACCCGTCCCACCATATAACCCGTCCCATGAAATTAAACATCATTTTGTTATATTTCTTTTTAATAATATTTTTATTTAAAAACATATACAATTCGAGTCAATTTATAAGTTTGCTTTAAAAAACATATAGTTGTAATGTTTTTATTATAATAAAGTAATAATATATAGATGTTGCTTACTATAGTTATAATCAAAACCAACTAAAAATCTAAGTTTAGTGTTGATTATGAATCATAGTTACGACCAAAAAAAAAATTAATCAAATACAATTAGTATAAATTAACTAATTAAGAAAACAAACAGAAATATAACAAAACTTGCTTTAAAATCGTTAACAAAAAAAGGAAACATCATATTTAAGCAAGATCTTTGGAGCCAAAATCTTTTTTTCATATCTTTTATTTAATTTTCCAAATCTTAAGAATTAAATCCAGTGGCATTCCATTGTAAATAGTAGTGAAAGCCAGGATTTATTTCATAATTGTATTCAAAAATGTATATATAGATATAAACCCGCGCCCAAATGGCTTGAACAACATCTTTGCACTAATTTTACCAACTCAATATAAAGCTTATTTTGACGAAAATAAATAAATCCGTTAAATATTTATATATTTTTGTAATTTATTTGTCAAAAAAAAAAAACAAACCAAACTAAAATATAATTCGATTCCTAGTGAAGCTTATTTTTGAAAACCAAAAAAAAAATCCGAACCGGAAAAAACTGAACGATACCGAAATAAAATTATTCCCGAATAGAAAATCCAAAAAACCAACCAAACGGTTTTCGTGCGGTTTACGTTTTTAGGTGGAACGAAGCGGTTTTTGTTCCACTACTGTTATTCTGTTAAACAACACTTAAAACACTGTTTAATTCGCTTTCATAGTAAAACGGCGCCGGTTAATTATACAAGAATTCCCAAACTGAAGTCAAAATTCCCCCACAAGAAATTGAACCCTAAAAACCCACGAACGATCTCTCTCTTGGACCTTACCTCCGCCGCTTAATAATCTGCCACCTCCATCAACTGGCAGCATCATTCTGAGCAGACCGTCGGTCACAGGTAAGCTTTTGCACCAAATCGAGATTACCAAACCCTAATTTAATAGGGATGCCTAATCCTGGCCCTTGGTCGGAGCTCTATCCCGATTTGTTGGAATCTATTTTCGAACGATTGTGCTTAGCAGATGTCCATCGCGCGAAGCTTGTGTGTTTAAACTGGAATACGAGTTCGAAACGATCAGTGGCCCGAAAAATCAAAACTCCATGGCTAATAGTACTGTTTGTAGACGATGAAAAAGACGTTTACGTGCTTTACAATCCAAACGAAGACAGAATTTACAAACCAGTTAGAGACTTCTCAGGGATTCGATTTCTGGCAAACTCGGGTAAATGGTTTCTGATGTTAGATTCTGGATGCAACTTGTATATTATGGATGTGTTTAGCGAGAAAAGGATCGATCTTCCACCTCTAGAGTCCCTTGTATCAAGTACCTATGCTCTCAAGCCTTCGGGATATAAGGAATATAGTTTGATATTACCTGGTGGCTCTTGTTGCATATTGAACACCAGTTATCTGAGAAGCCGTTTGTGGGTAGATGAGAAGACAGGAGAGTTCGTCCTAGTGTTGTTCTTTGATCCTTCTCCTTATTTATTCTATTGCAAGAATGGGGACAATCATTACACTGTTATTCCGGTAGATGACAAATTTCCCAATATGTTGCAAGGCGTAACTGATCTAGTACTCTGGGGTTACCGTCTTTACATTGCATCTAACCGTCGTTGCGTTCGAGTTATAGATTTGTCTGGACATGAAGGTTTCGAGGATGTCACCGGGAGTAACCCAAAGCCAATGTTATCTCCTCTCGGAGAACATGATTCTTTTAACATTGTGGTTACGACAGCAGGAGAGGTTTTGTTGGTGGAGAGCACAACCGTTGAAAACCAGAGAACCTTCCGCATCTACAAGAAGAATCCTAATGCTGATCCAGAGGACCAAATGCCCCATCTTGTTGAGGTAGATTCTCTTGGTGATGAGGCCCTGCTTCTCGACTTGGGTACTACTGTGCCTTCTAACCATGCCCTTGGTATCCAACCAAACACTATCTATTTCACACGTCATAACCGTGTCCGTTTCCGCATGTCTTTTGATCTGGAAATCTGTGTGTTCAATCTTGCAACCAACACCCTCATCAAACACTTCCCTCATCTTGCCAACTTGAAACCCAGGGATGCTCTATGGTTTCTCCCTATGACTTGATTCATGATTTTTGATGTTCTTGATTCCTTTTAGTTCTATATCTAGTCGTCTTTTTGCGTTTGGTTTGATTCTATTTCATTAATTGTTGCACGTTGTGATTTAGAAAAGATATGTAATTCGATCGTAATTGGGTAAATGATCGAAATGGTCAGGGATTTTTAGAGCTATATAGTGTTACAGAGAGAAAAAGGCATCAAGATTGATTTCTCATGCACTGCAGAAATTAAAACACATCAGAGGAGGAAGCAAGTAGTATACGTTATTATTAGTTTTAGAGAAAAATGATTAGTTTTTACCATTACGAAGTCATCCAAAGAATGAAGATATGACCACCAAACACTAACAAATGTCACTATAACTGCAATTCCAAGCTTAATCACAGCAAGTAGTGGACTTTTCTGTCTTAGGCAAGACTAAATATGCACTCATCTGCAACATAGACATGATGACACATGTTAAAAACTGGAGCAGAATATGATACTATTACGTTTGAAGAGGCATTATGTGTCAGAGCATCAGGAATACAATCACAGAATATGATACCTGTTTATGGCTGAGAGCTAGAGTGAACAAAACACAAATGAGAAACAGAGTACTGCAGCAATAATATCCATTGTTAGTCCCAGGCTTATTTATACAATTGTACAATAACAAACAATAAAAAAACTCTAATGAGAATATGATACATAATCACAATACAAATATAGGGTAGGTCAATCAATACAAACCTGAAAATGACTGTGAATGATCAATGAGAATTAAACAAGCGTTTTTACTTCAGTGTTATATTTATATAAGTAAATTTTCTTTTATTTCCCAAGTGAAAGAAAAAAGGAAATTTCCTTTTCTTTTTTTTGTTTATCGTGGGTGAGGTTTTTATATAAAACCAAACATCGTCTTCTTCTCACAAGAGAGAATCGACAGGAGCATCAGACCTAACCGTAGAGAGCATAATCACGGACGTGGTATCGGTGATCAAATTCAGATATATGGCAACTCTTGAAGATTCTTTCTACGCAGACCTTGACGAGTTATCTGACAATGAAGCAGAACTGGATGCTAGAACAGAGGAGGAGGATGACAATATTGACATGGACATGGAAGACTTAGAAACCCTAAACTATGATGATCTCTCGAGAGTTTCTAAGCTACAGGAAACTCATAGATACGCTGATATACTGCATAAAGTGGAACATGCTCTCGGAAAGGATTCGGATGGAGGAGCAGAGATGGGAACTGTATTGGAAAACAAGCTTATCGTTGATTGCAATCAGCTCTCAGCTGATATCGAGAATGAGATTGTGGTCTTCCACAACTTTATCCGCGACAAGTACAGACTTAGGTACCCAGAGCTTGAGTCGCTGGTACGTGACCCAATAGATTACGCGCGTGTCGTGAAAAAAATTGCCAATGAGACAGATATAACTCTTGTTGATATGGAAGGCCTTCTTCAACCAGCTACTGTTATTGCTTACTGCTTTAACCACAAAAGGGAAACCACTTCCAGATAGTATCCTACGAAAGACGTTAGACGCTTGTGATCACGCTATTGATCTTGATTCGGCAAGGAAAAAGGTTCTTGAGTTTGTTGAAAGAAAGATGGGATCTATCGCACCAAATCTCTCTGCTATTGTCGGGAGTGCTGTTGCAGCCAAGCTTTTGGGAACTGCTGGAGGTTTATCGGCACTTGCGAACATGCCTGCTTGTAATCTTCTAGTTCTTGGCCACAACAGGAAGAACCATGTCGGATTCTCTACTGCAATGTCACAGTCTCGTGCGGGTTATTTGGAGCAGACAGAGATTTTCCAAAGCACGCCTCCGGAACTTCAAATGCGCGCTAGCAGACTCTTGGCTTCAAAATCGACTTTGGCAGCAAGAGTTGACGCTACTAGAGGAGATCCATCTGGAACAAACGGGAAAGCTTTGAGGGAGGAAATCCGCAAGAATATTGACAAGTGGCAAGAACCTCCACCTGCAAGGCAACGTAAGCCACTTCATGTTCCTTATTCTGAGCCTAAAAAGAGAAGGGGTGGTCGCCGTCTAAGAAAAATGAAAGAAAGGTATCAAGTGACAGACATAAGAAAGTTGGCCAACAGGATGGCGTTTGGTACACCCGAAGACAGCTCTCTTGGTGATGGATTAGGTATCGGATATGGAATGCTTGGTCAGGCTGGGAGCAATAGGCTGCGTGTTTCGAGCAAGCTGAAAGTTAATGCTAAGGTCGCCAAAAAGCGACAGTTCACAGGTGGTTCTACTACCTCTGGTTTGACGACATCAAGTCTGGCTTTTACTCTTGTGCAAGGAATAGAGTTGTGCAATCCTCAGGCATTAGGATTAGTCAGTTGGATTCAAAGCACTTACTTCTCAGAGTCGGGAACTTTCTCCAAACTCAAGAAGATTTAAACTTCTTACACAGAAAGAAACAACTAGAATAGGACATCTCCAATGAACCTATATTTCTTACAAATGTAGAGTAATGAATTCTAGATTTTAATAATGTTTTTACTTATCCGTTTTACTTGAAATCCAATATGCCAAATTTTTTTTTCTGGCGACCAAAAATTTGCTAAAAAACAGTGTTAATTGTTTCCCTGATCTCTTTAGCTATCTTATATATCACTGTAACACATTGCTCTATAGGAAAATTTTATAAGTAGCACTAATTGAAATTCACTCATGGCTCATCTAGTACAATGTGCACAAAGAGAAAAGTTTCATTACGGCTTTACAACATGGCTAAATCATAGTGTGGCAAAACTAGGTGTCACAATAAAAGTAGGTTCAACTAACTCTATTGTCTCCACTTTCATGTGGGAATTAAATAATGAAATTGCAGAGCTACGAAGAAGCATGGCAGACTTTAATGAGCAATCTCACGAGACATAAGTGTTACCAAGAACTGCACATGGAAAATTAAACGCTGTGAGAACACCAAAAATGCCAAGAGGATTCCACATCTGCGTTACAATGTTCAAGCCGAATGTTAATCATCTTTTAAGAAATGTATCCACAAAAATCCGACAAAACAAACTTGCAATTCACCTCCAACATCACGTGGTTAGGGCCTGCGAAGAAAAAAATGATAATGAGTTTAGAGAAAAATCTTTTAATAAGCATCTCCAACTCCAAGTGCCTTTAAGGAGATACTAGGTCGACACACTCGCTACCCTGCGTGGCTCTTTCAAATATATTTTTATTTTTGAAAAAGTTGTTTGAATCAAATGGTTTTTAGATGAGGATAATATGCATGAGATGAATGCATCAAATGGTTTATGTTGCAGGTAGTTTTCGTAAATTAATTCTATCTAATTTTATATTTCAGTATATGTTTAACTTCCTATAAATGTTAGATTTATTTTATATTGTGATATATATAAATATATTTCAGCGACTATTATACTTTAAGAACCTTAGATTCTTTATGTTAACGATATTTATGGTACACAAGCATACTTTGAAATTTTGAATCATATTAAAAATATTTAACATGTCTTTTTTTTTTTAAAAAAAAAATCTTTTTTAATCATTAGATCACAATAATTAGCTACTAAAAATTATATAGATACCAAAGAAAAAAATTATAAATGCATTGTGGGAAGTTCATCTTATATTAACCAGAATGATATAGGATCTTCTTCCCTTGTTTTTAGCTAAAACTCTTCTTCCCTTGTTGCAGTAGTTGTACCTCCAAAGACAAATTTAATAATTTAAGAAAAGGTTGCAAGATTAGCTATGTCCAATACGTGAAACAAAGGACATAGAACATTGAACACTATAAACAATTTTTTAACTATAAAATAATTTGATTCTCGAATTAGATGGGATCAATATGATTTTTTTTTTTGTCATCCGAAATTAATTAGAGTTCAAAAGAGTCATTCTTGAGGAATGTTGTTTACATATGTGATATGAAACGGTTCTGTACGAATTTTTCGTGCCAGATTATCCGCTTTTACATTAGCATTACGAGAAATTAAAGATAAAGAGAAGGATGAGAATTCTTCCTTGTCGCTCTGGAATTCCTCCAAGTACACTGAAAACGCCGGCCATTCGGTTGGAGAAGACACCATCTTCACCAGGTCAAAACAGTCTGTAAAGAACGTTACCTCTTGATTATCTGCACCAATCATACACTTCATCGCCCAGAGAAGAGCCTCGAATTCTGTATGTAATGGAGATAGACTTCTACGGAGGTTGGCAGCTCCCATGGTTGGCGGCTCTCCGTTTGATGATGTACAGAACCAACCTGTACCGGAGAACTTATCACTTTCTTTCCACGATCCATCCACAAAGCAACGACATCCAGAATAATTCGAATCAAGTGAAGCATCCCCCACTCGAGAACGAGTTACCAATTCCACAGTGCCATTATTTTCATGATGAAGCTCGATTTGGGCTGATTGCCACAATTGTGCTTCTTTTTCCGCTAACTGTAATACCTCTAACAGATCTTTATCAATATTTTCAAAGATTTTTTCATTCATTGCTTTCCAAATGTACCATATAATCCATGGAAAGACCGAGAATCAAAATTCGAAGGTATTCTCCAATAAGTGGTCTAAATTCACAAAAATAGACTCCGTTGGGAAAATTCCCATTACCGTAGGAATCTGGGAAAGTGCCCAAACCTGTCGTGCTGGGCGACACTGGAAGAGTGTATGATTGATTGTTTCCACTGGTTCACCACACCTAGCACAACCTGTGTCACAATCAATTCCTCTTTTCCGTAAATTTTCTGTAACTGGTACACAACCCGTTAAGATTTGCCACAAGAAATGACGTATCTTAGGTGGACACTGTACTTGCCAAGAGTGTGCTTTTAACGGTTTGATGTCTGGGCCAATCAAAGATAAATTGGTCTCCACCTTTTCTAACCTTGTGGTATGATATCCCGATTTGACTGTATATTTTCCGGATTTTGTAAAATGCTAACCTAGTGTGTCTTCCTTAGTTGGCGCACCCACTGGTAAGGCACTTATCAGGGTGACGTCTTTAGGATCAAAGATCTCCTCTAAGAGAGCAATATTCCAAAAATTCGACCGACTATCTATAAGATTGTTAACTTTTAACAATGGGTCAACAAGTGAACCATTACTTTTTGCTGGTCTCGGGAATTGAGCTGGAATCCAGGGTTCATCCCAAACTGAGATAGATGTCCCGGATCCGACCCTTTTAATAAGTCCTTTTTTAACCAGAGATCTAGCTGAACAAATACTGCGCCATCAATATGATGGGGAGTATGATTTTATATTTTCCAAAGGATTGGATTTCTGAAAATACCG